TACATCGTTAATTTGATAAATAATGAAAATTTTTAATAAAAAATCGCGCGATTTTTTATTAAAAATTTTCGCCTGCGGCGCTTTTTCCATAAAAATCAGTACTTCGATAAATAATGAAAATTTTTAATAAAAAACCGCGCGATTTTTTATTACAAATTTTCGCCTGCGGCGCTTTTTCCATAAAATTCAATACTTGATAAATAATGAAAATTTTTAATAAAAAATCGCGCGATTTTTTATTAAAAATTTTCGCCTGCGGCGCTTGTCAGCTTTTTTTTATTGGGGGTATTTAACCCCATACCCTCCTTTACTACTAATTCAACGCTGAGCAGGAAAATGGGTACGATAAAAACTATTCTCTTTTATTTAGGGGATTCACAAGACGTGTTAACCGTCGTAAAATCTTAAGCTTAACACTTGTTTATGTAAAATAGCGGTTAAAATGGTTGGGGGGTTGGCTAATTATATATTCTTTATCAGTTTAAAAGAATTTCGGTTTAGTTAGAAATCCCCTAAAACCATTTTAATTAAAAAAGATGTTAACCTTAAGATTTTGCGACGGTTAACACGTCTTGTGAATCCCCTAATTGTTATTTTCTTAGATGTGGCTGCACTCTTCTAATGTCAGTGTGAAACCATGGTTGAATCAACGGTTCTGTATTCACAATGTGCGTATACATATATAAGTGCGTGATAATTATTAAAACTTACTTAATTTACTAAAAATACATCATAAATGTAAAAAGTATGTTTACATTTCATTGTGCGGGGTTTTAATGCAACTATTTTGCCAAAGTGTCTACATAAATATAGTGTTTATTGTGTGAAATAGCGCCGAGAGGTTAGTTCAATTTACAAACTTTAACAACAAATAACTTAAAAACTATAAGCCTTCTGCGGCTAAAAGTATATATATTTGCAATCAGGAGAACTCCCCCTACCCCCCCATAGCCACCTTTTTTTTGTACGCGGGGGATGCCAAACTAAAATTTTCCCAATATGTATACAATAAAAGTTTAATAAGAACAATTCTGTGTGCATACATGGAAAAGACGTTTTCGGGTAGGAAATGACGTTTTTTCAAACCAAGACGGACGTTTTATCATGCCGAAAACCTGGCAACATTGCTAGTCAATGCGCGTTTGTGTGTTTATGTGCCGACGTAGGTCGGTGTTATGCAGACAAATTTTTGTTTGCCAAATTAAATGGCGGCGGCTTAGTTTGCTCGGAGGTGGTTATGTCGAGTTTGGCACAGGGTTGCACGTTCATTATGGTTTTCATGGCTATTGCCAACACGAAATGAGAATTTGGTGTATAACAACAATGGTCTAAAATTTTTGTATATGACAACCCCGAATTTGCTGCAGTTTGACCAAACAAAATTGGTTTGCTGTGAGAGTCGCCAAACTCGCTCTCTCCGAGTTTGCTGCAAAAACAACTGCACGCAGTTTGCCAAACAAAATTTCTGCATAACACCGACCGTAGAGTCCATGAACCAAAAATACAAGATCACGCAGGCAGGAGAGTAGCCCGTTAGAATCGCATTTAGGAAAAAAGATAACGATTTTGACATTAGCCGTTTGTTTACAATTTGGTGGTGACTTTTTACTGCAATTTTCTTCATTTTCGGCTGTGACAACGGGTGTACACATAAGGTGAAGAATAATTTAACACAACGACATGATTTATAGAAGAATTTGCACAATCAAAATGATTATTCATGCGTTCAACAATTTCGCGGTTTTCTTCGTTCTTTTCGTTGTTTACTTCTTACAACAAAGATGGCGGCGAGATTCCAGCAGCTAGAAAATATCTTTCTTCTTTCTTTCCTTCCCGCGTGATGTTGTGTCTTTCGTTCATGGTAGAGTCCACATGCGTAAATATGTCAACGCATAGAATTCAAGCGACGGGTCAAATGTATATGTTTGTACGTGTCTTAAGCTTAGAGATAAATCGATACCATCAAGGTATTACTCAAATAAGTACTTGTACATGTATCAAACAAGGTATCGATACCTACTCAGTATCGGAAAGGTATCGAGTACTTGTACATAGACTACGATTTTGCATATTTTTCAAAGTAATTGTATTGTTTTTTCACAAAAATATTAATTTTTACAAGACTATTTATCTTTTAATAATTTTTCAGAAAAAAATTTAAGACAACAATTACTAGTATTTGATATCAAAAAACAATAGAATACATTTTTACAAGATTAATAGATAAAGTTTTTTCATATAAAATGAGTTTAACAAAATAACTCCTTTTATGTTATATTTCCCAAAAACATCAACTTTTCCAAGTGTTGTCCTGAAAGGCGGTTTCGAGCAGTGTTGCCACAAAAAAATTACCAAATTCCTCAAAAACAAACGAAAAATCCTCAAAATCCGAACAAATTACTCAAAATTTTCTTATTACAGATATGAATATTGTGTACTGTATACTATTTACAGGTACTTAGTACAAAAATTAATTACATTCTCCAATTCAATTGGTATATTTGTTCTTGCGGTTCAAAAAAAGTATCACCGAAGTAAGATACTATATCACCGTTATTTTTTATACCTTGGTTTGTATATAATATTGCTGCAACTATATCAGTGCTCAATCTGGTCCTTAAGTCAGTCCTACACATTTTTACACTACTAAATATACGTTCTACTGAAGCATTAGAAAAGGGTATATTAGTAATGCAGATATAATTTTTTTTTATTGGGAAACTTATATGAACCTGAAGAATCTTTTAATTAAAAAACTATTCCTATAATTTTCTGGATCTAACGAGGAATCAATATGAATATACTTATGATCGAGCAATGCGTGTTCTCTCCATTCGTTACCAAGATTTTGCAAGTTTAAAATAAGTTGAAAATATAACGATGGAATGAAAAAAATTATCGATAACATTTTGAATATTTAGCAGCAAATGCAGATGTGCTTAAAGCGGAAAACACCACACGAGCGGCTTGACAAACCAAGCGTAATATCGCTTTCCTTAAAGCTATTTATGTTGTGTATGGGGGTGTTTGAAGGTGTGACAAGTTTGAGGAAAATGTGAACAAAAATTAAATTTTTTTTTGTTTTCTGGCCGCCATGTTGACATTTGATGAAAACGCTTCCGCTGTGTATGATAAAATCGCTTCATTCGCAACGGACTGAGGACGTGAGAGAGAAAAATCGAAGAGAACCAAACCTTTTTACATTGTGAACCGGAAGAAAATTAAAATTCTTTGCCTGAACGAGTTATGTTTGCATGGTGTATGGCGAAATGGGAAAAGCAGGTTTGAAGAATATTTGACAAGCCACTTATGTGGTGTATTTTGCTCTTTATAAAACTTCGGAAAGCTTTTTGTTAAAAAATTTTAAGAGCGATTTAACAACTCTCTTGAGTAAAACATGGCTGCATTTGTTATCTGCAAATATATCGAGAGAAAATTCCTCAAAAAATACTCAAGGGCACCCGAAATTCCTCACGTTTTGAGGAATTACTCACAAAGTGGCAACACTGGTTTCGATATTTTAATATAGTTGTTTCTGTTTTTGAGAAAAGCCTCCCGCAAGGGACAGATGACCCAACAACCATGTATAGACGCAGTGTTGACGTTGAAAATTTTCAGAAAGTCGAAAAAAGGGGTTCATTGACGAAAAAAGGGTCACCGTATTATTTGTGCTTTTCTTTACTAGTAAAATTAAAGTAAATTAATTGTTAAATTTAATAAGAGAATAGTGGGACAAGCTTTTCACAAAACAAGGTTGCAAACATACACATAAATCGAGAAGAGTTACATTTCCCTTAAAAGTTTTAAGTGATGCATTTTTACGTACTTACAGGAGGAAATATTTTTTAATAGCATGGTTATGTTAACATTTCCTAAAAAAAAAGTATCTGAAAAGGGGCAAAGATCGCACATAATTTTGGAAAAGGGTCAAAAAATCCAAATTTTCAAAAAGTCGGGTTCAAGGGTATTGGCGCTCAAAAAGGGTCAAATTGCCCCTTTAGTCGCACAACGGCAACACTGAATAGACGGGCGTGCTTATATAGCTACGGAAATTTATTGCGCATATCTTCGAATTCCTCTAATGGGTTGCTTTTCAACGAAGGTTCTGAAGCATAATAAGTTTTGCGCTTCCGATACGAGTACTTTTTTTTCGAAACCTACTTGGATCGCAGTAAAAAGTATCGAGTACAAAAATACTTCGTAAATTGAGAAAAATATCGAGTATGTACTTGGATTTACTTGTATCGATTTATCCCTACTTAAGCTACAATGCAAAAACGCGACTAGGTACTCCATGCACTCACGTAAAGGGTATCCCTAAGGTTCAAGGAGTATCCAAAATTAACCAAAATGCATATGAAAATGTGGTCCAATTAACATTGCGATGTCCTAGGGCAGGACCATATACTCCAGCTCTGCATTAGAGACACGAGTTGGGCCGCTACTGTAGGGCTGCCAGACGTCCTGGTTTTCCAGGATTTGTCCAGATTTAAACAAATTGTCCTGATGTCCTGGTGTACACTAAAATTGTCCTGGTTATTTAATGAAGGTCAATGAAGACACCCATCTAATTTTTAGCAGATTTTTGCTTGAAAAAAGAGGTTAAGCTTCTGTCATTAGTAGTCGATAATGAAACATTTTTTCCAAAATGTTGAACAATATCTGGTGGTTTACCATATTTCTGTTTAGTTTATTTGGTTAAAAACTAATTTTGTATTTTCAGGTAAATGCCAAAAAAGTGCAAGTTCCTGAACAGGTACACGGCTGAGAGGTCCCACATACTACGCAGTAGATAATTTCAGGAGTTAAAATCTCTTCCAAAAGGACTTTTTGACAGTCATAGGAAACCCCCTTCTAGGAAGCATGCAGTCTTTATTGGGTAAGTTTTTAGAAAGGCTTCACTTCAGACAGCCTACCTAAATTATCCTTAGGTTATGCATATACCAAATGGCAAAACTGATCATGGATCGCATTGTAGGATAAGTGGAAATTTGCTAATGATGGTAAGGCAAGCACTCAAGACCATTTTTCCAAGTTACGTCACCGTCAAGAGAAATTTGTTTTTTTATGTTCAGAATTTGAGAGTTTCATCATCATCAATCCTTCAGTTCTACGGATTTGCCACAAAACTACATTGCTTATAATATCAGAAAATACTTCAAAATAATCCAACGCCAGAACCAAAGAAACTGTATTTATAGAGAATAAGTGTCCTGGTCGATGGGTTCAGGATTATGGCAGCCCTACGCTACTGCATCTGAGAGGAACATTTTGTAAGTGTGTACTGTAATATAGCATAAATGGACCACATTGTCCGAAGATTTTTGCAGAATGGCCAATAAGCTGATAAAAGTTGGTGTTGTGTGCTCGTTTATGGCTGGAATTCTCTGATTCTCCCAAAACTGGCGAACAAATCATAACAAAAGCAGCGGCATCAATACAAAAGCATAATCTTTCTCCACTGGTGGTACCAATAAATCGCAGGACATTCTCGATAGCCTGATAAAACCGTAATGGTAAAGAGTGACCATTTTCCTCTGGTCTCTGCGCGTGCGCTAACGAGGTCATTTGGTGAGATCGTATGCGCTCAACAGCTCCTGTACGTCACATTATCATGAGTATCATCGATTCAAGAGCTACATCTCGTTTCGAAAGAAAAATAAATAAATAAAAGTATAGAAAATTTTATTATGGTCGGAGAGCAACAGCATCAACAACTGAGTTGCTAGCTGAATTTCAAAGGTTGCATCTTAATCGACTTAAAACAATTGAAAAATTATTATATGATTTTATAATGCAAGCTAAGGGTTGAGACTGTTTTTTTTTTTAATTGCTAAAGTTTACGCATTCACGTACAGGATTTTCAATTAGACAAAATAGCATCATCGTCGAATTTTCTAAATCTTTTAGAGGCGTGGGTGGATAATGAGAAAGCTTTAAATATTCCTAGTAATTCAATTTAGAAGCCTAATGACGAGAGCAGAATAAATCATAACACACATGATGGAGCTCGTATACGGGTAGTTATCACGATTGAGAGAAATAGAGGTTGCGCCAATCACGGTACCGCTATTCCTCTCTCAGTGAATTTGACAGAATCATTGTTTGTATGACGTCACACTTGTGCAACTTGTTTACGTTTTCCTTGCAAAATTTTTTCTTCTTCTTCCATTCTTGCTTACGTTTTGGCATTTCTCTCTTGCAATTGCACCAGTGTGACGTCACACAAAAGTTATTCTCAAAAATCCTCTCTAATAGGGGCAATCTTGTATTCTATCATTCTTGGGTAGTTATCCACAAATAGAACTCAATGCACAAAAACTGGAATCAATAGTTGCGTTCGATAACAAAATTAGCCAACACCAGCCAACAATCAAAATCAAAAACCGGAAGAAGAAGACACACCAGCTGACTTTGTTTATGTTTTATTTGTAAACAATTCATGTTGCCTCCATGGAAGAAAAAAGGAAAGTGAACGTTCAATGTTCGCCAGGAACATTTCTAAGAAGTAAAAACTAGTTGGCACTATCATATAGTCACATAGCAGGCAGCCAAAAAGCATATAAATACCAAAACTCGTAAAATGCAATTTTGTTTGTTTACAAAAATTGCAACCATATGTTTTGTGATCATATGTTTTCGTGTTGGATAATTTTTGCTGACTAAAATTTTGCCAGTACAAAATGAACGCTTGCTCTCTCAATTTTTGTGTGTTGGATATTTTGTCGTTATCGAACGCCATCCAGTAAAAATTTGGAAAAACTATTACAAATTTTTGACTTGTCGAATGCAACTAATGTCTTTTCTAAATTGCTTATGAAAGCAGTTTGGACCAATAGAGAACAGATATATTTGTGGCAATTTATATTTCTCCCAATCAACCAGTAAATAAAGTTATTCAATTTATTCACGAGAGTTTAATAAAATACACACCAGAAGACCACAATAAAATCCGATGAAGGTTCCCTTCTACCGGGTGCGCACAGCACACATATGTTTTTTTTTTTAATGTACATCAAAAACTCACACGCATTAGAAAATGCTGGTAAGATAGGGTGCATTCCAAAATGTCAAAACACAAAGCATCAGTCTGTTTTNCAATAAACGCTTGCTCTCTCAATTTTTGTGTGTTGGATATTTTTTTGTCGTTATCGAACGCCATCCAGTAAAAATTTGGAAAAACTATTACAATTTTTTGACTTGTCGAACGCAACTAATGTCTTTTCTAAATTGCTTATGAAAGCAGTTTGGACCATGAGAGAACAGAAATATTTGTGGCAATTTATATTTCTCCCAATCAACCAGTAAATAAAGTTATTCAATTTATTCACGAGAGTTTAATAAAATACACACCAGAAGACCACAACAATAAACGCTTGCTCTCTCAATTTTTGTGTGTTGGATATTTTTTTGTCGTTATCGAACGCCATCCAGTAAAAATTTGGAAAAACTATTACAATTTTTTGACTTGTCGAACGCAACTAATGTCTTTTCTAAATTGCTTATGAAAGCAGTTTGGACCATGAGAGAACAGAAATATTTGTGGCAATTTATATTTCTCCCAATCAACCAGTAAATAAAGTTATTCAATTTATTCACGAGAGTTTAATAAAATACACACCAGAAGACCACAACAATAAACGCTTGCTCTCTCAATTTTTGTGTGTTGGATATTTTTTTGTCGTTATCGAACGCCATCCAGTAAAAATTTGGAAAAACTATTACAATTTTTTGACTTGTCGAACGCAACTAATGTCTTTTCTAAATTGCTTATGAAAGCAGTTTGGACCATGAGAGAACAGAAATATTTGTGGCAATTTATATTTCTCCCAATCAACCAGTAAATAAAGTTATTCAATTTATTCACGAGAGTTTAATAAAATACACACCAGAAGACCACAATAAAATCCGATGAAGGTTCCCTTCTACCGGGTGCGCACAGCACACATATGTTTTTTTTTTTTAATGTACATCAAAAACTCACACGCATTAGAAAATGCTGGTAAGATAGGGTGCATTCCAAAATGTCAAAACACAAAGCATCAGTCTGTTTTATTTCTAAACCACACTAGAAGAAGAAGTCTAACTTGCGCAACCTAGTAGAAAACTAGGATCTGACCGTAGTTGCCCACATTTCATATTTGCAAAAAAGTATCGATAATACTCGTACTTCCAAGTATTCTCAAAGCAAACGCAAAAAGTAAACAAAAATATGATCGCCACCTCTTCCTATTTGTAAATTGAATAGTCACTGCTCTTAATAGTTTTAATCTGATCTAAAGGAGTTTTTGGAATAAACTTCCGATAAATTAGTTTTACATGCGTAAATTAAATGTTTATAGCAAAAAGCTTATTTCCAAGTTTTTAAAAGCAAATATTTTATAATGATTTGACGCGTACATGTATTTATAAATAACTTTACTTTGAAAATGAAATGCAAATGTAGAAGACGAGAAGCAAATGTGGTGAAGCCCATTCTTTATTGGAAAGATAAGCTCTCTTTCATAAAAATGTTCTTCAAGAATGGGCTGGTTTTCACAACGAAAGTAGAATACATGGGTTAACGATGGCTGCCTTATGCTGGAGAGTGGCCAAGTTGTCGGGTCGGAAGACCATCCTCTTCCACCAATCAAAGGGGAGGCAAGATATTCGTTTTTCAATTATTTAAACGTTTTTACCCGAAGCCAATGTTGAAATGACCGCTACATTTTCTTCTAGACCAGTAGCTCACTAGAGCAAAATATGTATTAATTATTAGTTTGGGAGTATACATATCGACGCCCGTATGCCATAAACATAAATGTGTAAAAATGAAAATTTTGGGAAATCAAATTTGAAAGTTTTTTTTGCGAGACTTAGCTCTATGTTTATGCAATTGAAATTGTAAAATATTTACTTTTCGTGTACGCATGTTATTCTGGGTTTTGGTATAAAATAGAAAATCCAAAGATTAACCAAGTCAACCCAATAACTCAAAACTGATAAATTTGCACATTCATGCTTCTGACATGAGGGTGACGATAAGTGAATTAAAAACTTTAAAGGCGTGTTTCTCGGGTTTTCGGTTTATTCAGTGATTCAGTTCTCGATACTACTCAATACTCATGAAAAGTATCGATATTCTGTACTCGGTACTCGTATCGTTCTATCACTAGCCATAATAGCCTTTAGTATATCACATTGACTCACGCAGAGAAACTCAAAAGTATCTAAAGTTATACAAGCATCTACAGGGGTATCACCAGAGATAGTCGAGTTACTGCAGTTGTCCGAACCAATAAAAAAGTCATTTAACTAATGAGGGTGGATTGTGCACTGCTCTTTATTTTTCCCATGTTTGTTTAAAAGTTTCAAGTTGCTCCATAATTCTTTAGATGGGAGAGAAGGATTCAATTTATGTTTACAAAACCACCATTTAGCTTGTCTAATGGTAACGGTGGCTTCATTTCGCGCGGTCTTGTACGCACGCCACGAGGTATCAGTAATCGACCTTCTCCATTTGGCATGCATCTGGTTGCTTTTCTTAATAGCGAAACTTACTTTTTTATTAAAACAAGGGCAGTATTTATTGATAACGTTGGCAGTACGGACGGGGACATGACGATCAAAAAGAGTAGTTAAATTATTATTAAGGCATTCGAGCTTCTTGTCTACCGTTTCATAATACCAACATTCATTCCAATGCATAAAAGAACAATCAGAGAACAGTGCACTATTATCTAACGACGAAACTCACGATACAAGAAAGCAACACAAACTGCAGAACGTTCGAACACTACATCAACAGTACAGAAAATTAAATAATGGTCAGATATAAAAAATAATTGGTAAATTTTAAGAATATATGTCAGGTCAGAGATAATAAAATAATATAACAGGCTAGGCAAATTCATTAACAACGCATAGCCCAGCTGCTGAGATTTGATCACGCAGTTTGATACTAATAGAGTCATTGATAAGTAAATTGACATTAAAATCTATTAAAAATACCAGGGTTCGGAAATATTCACTCACCTTCGTACGCGAACATGAACGTATCAAATATTCCCTATTGATTCTCCTTCGCGAACGAGAAGCATAAAACAAGTCCAAATCGTTCGCGTTCGCGAATGTTAGGTACAAAACATTTCCGTTCAAGGCGAATTTATACAAGGTGGTGTTAACAGAACAAAAACAAAAATTACATCAACAAATTATACGCTCCTTGACAATCAGTACAAAGCCAAATTACAACAAACACATGATTTTGACAAAAGGTACAAATTCGCCGTGAAATCAGCGGATCCGATAACACCACCTTGTATAGATTCGCCTTGTTTCCGCTGTTGTTCGTACGCGTATGTATTGGTACATGATTCAATAATACAAGGTTCGATAAACTGACAGTTGTCTCTCTCGCATCGCCCCCTTAGCAGTGGCACCGTGTTGCTTCTATTCCAATGTGCTTGGAAAAATTGTAGCTTTGGTGTGAAATAGAAGTATAAGCTTTTGTGCAATATGTTTATTTGCATATGCATATGAAGCATATTTAACTGATGAAAACATAAATTGTTTTTAAATTGGATGTTTACATCAATCTCATAGTAGTTTTATTTTAATTTTGCGTTTAGTCTGAGGACACCAAATTAGAAAATCCTAAAAAAATCTAAGCAAATTTATAGCAATCGTAAGTGTGGTAAGCAACTTTACAAAAATTTAAACAAAATCATGGCACAGTGACAATCATAAGCGACAACAAAATATGTGGCAGCACCTTCAATCATGCCAGAAGAAATCGATCGTCGTGCAAGAAACATTGATATTTATTAATTTGAATTGGCATCCTTACTATAAAATCATGTATGCATATAAAGTCCATAAAATACACCAATAAAAATTTTGTGCTTTTTCAAATTCATAACTTGGCAATACTGCCTTTTGTTCGATGCTTCCTCTTTTTCTTGTCGAGTTCGTCTTGCTCTCTCATTCTGGTATTAATTGACGTCACGGCCAGTTGCTCTCAGCTCGATTGGCGCAATCTTGTATTCTATCATTCTTGGTGCGTTCGTATATGTACCTACAAGTGGCATCGATGCCTTCGCGAACGTTCACTGCTGCCGTTCTCGTTCATAAGTAGAGATAGAACTTTTTAGAAAAGTATCGATACTAGTACTCATACAGAATACTCTAAAAAAGTATCGATGCCAGTACTCATATTTGCAAAAAAGTATCGAAAATACTCGTACTTCCAGGTATTCTCAAAGCAAACGCAAAAAGTAAACAAAAATATGATCGCTTTGCTTTTTTCCCCTCTTCCTATTTGTAAATTGAATAGTCACTGCTCTTAATAGTTTTACAGCCTGATTCTCTATCTCGAACGAACAGCCAGACGAACGATTCGTGTCCAAACGAAATCGTTTGAATTCGGAAGTCTCTATCTCGAATGATAATTTTCGTCCATCCTTACGTTCTTACGTTATTCGCCCGAAAAGATCTGTCAAAATTGTTTTGTTTACTTTGTGTGTATAAAAGTTCAAAAATACAATATTTTAATATAATTATTTAAAAATGTATCAAGCAATAGCATTTCTTGCAAGTGAACGTTCGGACGAAGACGAATTGCGGATTCAGAGGCGGAGGCTTCGAGACAGTACAAATGTATTGGAATTGCCAGACGGCGAGTAAGTAGACGTGCATTTCTAGCATTCCATACAGTTGAAGTGTTATGTGGGGACGAAATGGGACCCAAGTAAAGTGGTCTGCTCTGGCTTGCACCCACATATCGCACATTTGTATGCGTATATTAACCAATAACATACATATTTTATTTTAGGTTTCTTAAATACCTTCCAAGTCAGCAAAAAATTATTTGGACACATTTTCAGCGAAATTAGCATCCATATGAAAGACACCTACCGCAATACTCACTTGCCACCACAACTGAAACTGTCCACATTTCTACGCTTTCTTGCAACTGGAAGCTATCAAAAGTCGGTGGGTAACGAAAGTGTCTCAGTAATGGGTCAGTCGACAGTTGCAAAAATAATAGCGGAATGCTTGGACATTTTTAAGGAGCAGGAGGAAAAATAAAACGACGTGAAAGAGCAATTCTTCAACAAATGTGGAATACCTGGCGTAGTTGGCTGTGTGGACGGGACCCACATGCGTATAAAAGCACCCAATTCAAACTGCAGACATCTTTACTACAATAGAAAGAGGTTTTATAGCATCAATGTAATGGTGGTAAGTACAAAACCCTTATAGCCTTTTTAATTCCACTATTTCAATACAATTCTGATTTCAGATATGTGATCACGATATGGTAATTACATTTGTTGACGCAAGACATCCTGGTGCTAACCATGACTCCTTCATTTGGAAAACCAGTGCCGCAGAGGAACAACTTCGATTGGCTTTCAATAATGGGGAGTCAAATACCTGGATACTAGGTATGGAGGAGGTAAAAAAGCAATTTTAATTGGGATAACAAACAATTTTTATTCTTTTCATTAGGCCCTTCGGGGTATCCCCTGCAGCTCTTTTTGATGACGCCGTATAGAAATCCATCAGATGTAGTACAAAGACGATACAATGATAAACACTGTAAGGTTCGAAACATCATTGAGCGCTGTTTTGGAGTTTTGAAGAATAGATTCCGATGTATAATTGGCTCAAGAGGGCTTCATTATTCCGCAGAGAAGACAACGCAAATTGTGAATGCATGTTGTGCAATTCACAACATCTGTATATTTTACAAAAATTATTTGTCTCTCATCCCAATCGAAGCTGAAGATGCTATTGAGCCAAATGATGAAGACCTAGTACTTGAGGATCTTTCTACAGTAGCAGCTAATATAAGAACACAAATAGCAAACAATTTATAATAAAATTTCTCTAAGTACACTTTTATTCACAGAATTCATAACATTTCATGCTTATTAATATTAATCCCTACTACTATTATTATAAACATAAAAAAATTTGGTTAAATTCAGCCAAATGAATTAATTCTATTCAGTTCAATGCTATTGCTAAAAAATTATAAACATCTAAATCATTTTAAGTACAGTGAGTGTTCTTGCCATTTGTTCAGCAAAGATAATTTTTTTAAATCAAGATGCCAAAAAAGAATAGACTGAGAGTTTAAAAAACTGGTGCTCATTTGTTCAACCGTAATTTTTAATTCGCTAATTGATTATAAAAACATGACTCATACTACAACAATAACTTCAGAAATCAGAGCTTCAAACTTTTTGCTAACTTTAGGGAAACTGCAAATTTCCTTCAAAATTGTCCTCTTTTTAATGGAAGTTGTCCAATAAAAATGTGATTGAATAGTGGACAGTTTTGGGGAAAATTTTCGGAACGTTCCTAAATTTTGCTAAATTTTTCTGATTTCTGAAATTATTGTTGTAGTATGAATCATATTTTTATAAAAAATTAGCAAATTAAAAATTTTCGTTGAACATATGGCCACAGTTTTTTTTTTTAAATCTGAGTCTACTCTTTTACGAAATATTGTACGCTTTGATTTAACAAAATTATAAAATATATAAATAAGAAACTAAACAAATTTGTCTTGCAAACTTTCGATAGCCTGAATCATAGCCGCTTCTGCCATTTTTTGCGCAGCTTCAGCTTGAATTTTTGCTGCAGAGGCTTTCTCCTTCGCTGACTCGGCTATAAGCTCCTGGAAAGTTCTCTTCCGGCTGCTTTGTGGCGCTGATGCTGCGGCTATATGCCTTTTTGGTGTAGTGGACTGCTGCCTGGTAGGTGTCACAACCCCAATTAGTGCAGCTGTGCGGGCCGGAGTAGTGACAACTATTGGGAGTAGCTCCTCGGGTGATGGTGGTTGAGGTGATTGTTCAAGCTCTGGTTCTGAGCGTACAACCACCTGCCTTACACCGAGAACTGTATCACTTCGTGTGGCCGCTTTTGTCACCAGCAAGATCCGGTCGATGGCCTTTTCCAAATTGGTGAGCGGTGAATGCCGGAATGGTCCACCACTTGTGGCATGCATGTTAGACGCATTTTTCGCAATTTGCTTCTTTGTGCGGCTTTTAAGATCAGCCCAAATCTGGAAAAACATGACAAGCTCAATTTTTGATACAATTTACTATTTATAAAAAGGAGTTACCTTTTTCCATTCGGTAGCTGTTCTTTGTGGAGGCCCATGAGCGTTTAATTTATTGGCTAATTCAGTCCACTGCAGTTCTACCAGGCTCTTACTCGCACCAAACATTGGAGCGCCTCTTGCCAAGTCTGGATTTTTCTCCAGCTCTTTTACCAGCACACCGAACTGAGAACTGGAAGTGTTTTTAAACACTGTAAAATATACCCAGCAATTAATTATAATAATACGAATGTTTTTTCGACTATTTCTTGCCTTTTTTGCTTAAATTATCCATTTTAGCGGCTCACACGATAGCAAAAACTCTTTCGTTTGAATTTAATACTTTTTTGCTTTATTTGAAGTCGTATTCGTGTTAGAGAATTCACATTTGTTACGTTTTCGTCACATAACAATCAGCTGTTATCGACAAGTTATCGCTAGGGTAGCGAATTCGTGTTAGGTAGTATAAATACACGAACAAACGGCTGTTTGGACGATACGAACGCTCGTTTTGAGATAGAGAATCAGGCTGTTAATCTGATCTAAAGGAATTCTTGGAATAAACTTCCGATAAGTTAGTTTTACATTAAATGTTTATACCAAAAAGCTTATTTCCAAGTTTTTAAAAGCAAATATTTTATAATGGTTTGACGCGTACATGTATTTAAAATTAACTTTACTTTGAAAATGAAATGCAAATGTAGAAGACGAGGAGCAAATGTGGTGAAGCCCGTTCTTTATTGGAAAGATAAGCTCTCTTTCATAAAAATGTTCTTCAAGAATGGGCTGGTTTTCACAACGAAAGTAGAATACATGGGTTAACGATGGCTGCCTTATGCTGGAGAGTGGCCAAGTTGTCGGGTCGGAAGACCATCCTCTTCCACCAATCAAAGGGGAGGCAAGATATTCGTTTTTCAATTATTTAAATTTCAGCCACGCACGATTACGAATGTTAAGGGATTTTCTTTCAAAACCGCTCACGTTCACGCGTGAAAAAGCAAGACATGACGTGTTACGTAGAAAATCACGTGTTTTGCCCATCTCTAATCCAAATATTCATTTGAAATATGATGTACTCACCGAGTGGGTATACTTGCAGCCTCAGCCATCTCACAAAATTTCGTTCTCCAATCATCCAACATCTTTTAGTGGATTTTATCGACGATTTCTAGCGAGACGTCTCTTTTTGGGCGACCTGAACGATCGGAGTCACTTGTGCTGGTATGACCGTAATGGAACTCAGTAAACCAGTTTTTAACAACTGAAATTGATGATGCAGAATCCCCATAGTATTTATGAGGCCTTGGTTTCGGTAATTGATTTTTTTACAAAAAAATTATGCTTAATCACATGAAACTCACTTTTTTCAATTTTAGTTAAAATTCACGATGTTGTCGGATTTCAATGGCGCTGCTTACTCAAAAGTATACAGTAGTCTATTAATCGAAAGCTACTAGTTTTTCAAATTGCCCTCGTACAATCATTTCGGCGCTCGAAGTACACTTTTTCTATAAACCTATAAGCTCTACACCATTGGGGATGATTGGTTAGAGGTGCGTACTCCGTAGAACCTGGGTTAGATGCAATGGCAAACCTCCGAGAGTATTTCTGCCCTGAAAAACCTGCTCATAAAACCATTTGCCGTTTGGAGGCATCTTAAAATTGTAAGTTTCTCCATTTGTGTTAAAAAATCACGACGCACACCAAAAGTTGGAGGAGAAGCTCGACCAAATATTAAGCAAAAGTGTAGGCGCCAAAAGTATTGTTGAAACTCGTTGGCTGAGCTTGACCACAGCCTCTGAAGGATAAGCTGATGTAGTCGCTTCAACGCATGAACCAACGACTACAGATCACGCAATCCGCCATCGTTGTATTTGTAATCGAATTTCAGAAAAAAGTTTTCGTAGCGTTTTTGATGTTTTCTCATTTTGTTTACATCGTCTTCTATCGCCTCGGAATGGCTTTTTTTAGTAATTTAATGCGTTTTATGAGCGATTTTAATATTAATTTTGATTTATTACAAATTTATGATATAAAATGAAGTGCTTTGTGATTGGAACAAGTTTTTGCATTTGTTTGGTCAGCCAAATGCCTAAATTTTCGTGAAAAGTGGGTGCACGTTTGTAGCCAGAACGTTGGCATTGAAAAATCGACCCGTGCTGATGATATGCGAATGTAAAACACTCTCAATCATGAAAACCACATTTTATGAACTTTTTTTTGCTAATTGTCATCCAGTTTCACTTCGTATATTTTATAATGGGCGCGTTTATAAGACGTAGCTGTTGCCCAACCGTTGACTATTTGTCTTAGAAACGCACAGTTTAGTAGTTCCGCTCAGCTCAACAGTTGGCAACTTTCCGCCATTTTTTCCAGCGGAAAATGTTTACGCTACCTGAACTCAACGTGTTGGGCTTAGCCTCAACAGCTGATCGAAAATACTTACGCCGCTTATATTAAATTTAACGCCGCTTCGTTAGGTGGATGTTGCAAACAAATTTATTATATTTTATATTGCTGATGTGATAAAATAACTAGAATATTTTATAATAATACTACGTTTCTAAATATATGTTTTTAAGATGTTTACTATATAATTTTACACTGTTTAATTGATTGTAACATTGAACGATTTTTTCAACACGGCGGCAGCTCAGCGTTGAATTCTAAATACTATAGGCGCAACTATCTCTATTTTTGCAATTTCATTTGTTTACATTTATCAGCTGTTCATTTGGCAGCATATTCATCAAGCCGTTTCTAAGACGTAATTGTTGGATTCAACAGTTGCCAGCAGTTTCGTAGCAGATGAGCTAAACAGCTACGTCTTATGAACGCGCCCAATAAATACCAATTTAATCGCACTCAATCTCCGCGGCCTTTTCGTTTTCTTTGCTTGTTTCCATTCTTAGGCACATGTCAAAAACGCTCAGAAATTTACTTTTTTCATTCTTTTCCGATTGCGTGATCTTGTTAGTTGGTTCATGGCTTCAACGACAGTCTGCGGATCATTGCGACCATTTTTAGAGTGGTTGATCAGTGACTTAGGCACATTTGGTAACTTGGCAACTTTTTTTTTATATTGGTAACTTTTGGTAAGTTTGCCGTGTATAAAGTCGGACTAAAAAAGTTAGATTAATTTGATAAATTGTCCTGTAGTTAGTTGCGTGTAGGGGTGACAACACTACTAGAAACAATTGCATTGATCAGGCAACACAGCGCTCAGCAAAATCACTAACCACATATCAAAGAAAATTATCGCTGGGCAGTCTACGCCTGTCTCACGTTCAATATTTATTGTGATATTTGGATCGTGATCCATAAATTTGATGTTATTTTATTGAAAATCATCTATACTTTTTATTATATGTATGGTGATACCACATCTAGTTTGTTCAAAATGCAACGCGAAATGCCGAGCCGCGAATTGACATCACGAAATATGCCACATTTCAATACTTATTGGCAGATCATTGCGCTCTGTCACACGGTCAGTATGTATTGACGTGATCCAAGTATCGCGATATTTATTGACGGTGTAGCACACAATACTGATGGATAGTGATCCATATCGCTAAATTTCTAAAAATTTTGAAATCTGGATCGCGGATCGCAATACCGTCAATAAATATTGAATCTGTAGCACTTTCAAAACGCGATCCATACATTTCGTCAATACATCTTTTACTCTCATAATGCGAACATCGAAAAGGTATTCGCTCTGCCTTCGCTCTCAGGGCTTAAAACCTTTCAAGTCAAATTGAAAAAATTTTAACTAACATTGGAAATTTTAAAATAATTGTGGAATGTATTATC